CGGCCTAAAACCCTTTTGACGGTCCACCGGGACACTCCCACGGCGATTGAAATGTCTTTTTGCGACATTTGCGCGTGGGACAAATCACGAATACGCTGCCACTTCGTCATGGTGCAACTGTCAAACTAATAGCGAATTCGTTTATTATTCAGTTCCAATCTGGATCGGGTATCAAGATTGGGTCTGCTTGTTTTCTGACAAACGTCAGTTTGCTCGTTTGTTCTTAAAACGCAGCTCAGGTTGAGGTTCGCACTGACAAAAAGTTCGGTTTCGCATAATAAACGAATTCACTATAAGTAATTAATTTTCCAAGGTATTGTATGCACAGGTGAAACGGGAACCTTATTTGTACGATGGTGCAAACATTATCACGCATACGGTAGAAGGACATCGATCGGTCAAATTGATTATACCAGCTGTAAAATGAGAAAGGAAATCAAGGGGCTTGTCAATTCTTTTAAATCATTCTACCGTGGTTTATAATTCTATGTGTTATTCCTTCTTTGGACATTTTCTAATTTTTTGGAACCAATGAACACAATCATAACAAACTTTTTTTCGAACACTATGACTAAGGTCCCAGGGTGGGTCTCCCAGCTAGCTGTATCAAAGTTAAGCACTATTTACTAACGAAAATAATCGTTAATATGCATCAACTGAATATTTCGTGATGTTAACACAGTTAACAATATTTCAACATACCACAGACAAAGTGATAGTTTTAAACCTATTCAACGTAATCATAATATCTTCGAAAAATTTCCGTCACGAATCCAATGCAAAACAATAAGATCGAAGAGACGAAAAAATAATGCATCTGTAAATAGGCAATATTACTGATTAACAACGCTCTTGATTGGCTTCTGACCGACTTGAAAAAACTAGTAAAAAATTCTTTTGAAAAGCCCCCTGTCGAGCTAGTCGAGAAAAGAATGCCCACACATCAAACTCCGTCAAGCATTTAAACAGCGCAGGAGCAAAAGAGACGACAAATTAGCTGGGCCTCACCTGTTTACATCTCATTACGTATTACCGTGAATATTGACAATTCGCCTCTTCGGTCAGTCTGTAACTCTTCACTCCTATGGTAAAATCCCACAAGCAAACACAGGGTGTCTACTACCTGGAAAAACCGGGAATTTACAGGGAATTTTATTTTTTCTGGAAAAACCTGGAATATTCAGGGAATTTTGGTTCCACTCAGGGAATTTTCCAATTATCACTTCATTCGTAATTCAAAAGAAGTTTTTCGTTCAGTTTCTCGAAACGTTTCTTAAGGACACTGAACTTGACAAGCATCTGACAGCTAAGACAACGTGTGCGAACGAGACAAGTTCATTCAGAGAGTCTTGTCACGCTCGCTCTTCGCTGATTTGTATGTGGAGGATCAAAATCGTCGTAAAAAGGAAACAGCCGAAAAAGAGAGACTGGCAACCGTCAAAAGGAAGCATACGAAGCATGTATTGTATAAGAATAAGCATACCAGACAGCAGGTCTGAGACCCAACATAGAATTTTTTTTGAGCTTAGAGGGTCGGAGATCTACTGAGAAATTTCACATTTTTGAGAACAGAACTACAAACAAATTAAAAGTTATAAACAGAAATTCATAAAAACAAAATCACAAGAGAGGTCGTAGATCTTTAGATAAATGTTCAAAGAAATTTTCAAAACTTCAAGCAAGCAAAAATAATTTCAAATCAATTTGTAAAACTATAAGCGAAATTTTACAAATCTTCAGGGAAATTCGCATAACTTCAGACAAGTCCAAGAATCTACAGTGAAATATAAAGTATTTCACATAAGTTTGGAGATCCTCGAAACATTATTCAACATCACAAAAGTTCGTAGATCTTCAGAACAAAGCTACAGAACTTTGAGAAAAATCACAGGACTTCTGAAAAAATCACAAGAATCTCAGAAATGTTAATGCATCTTCAGTAAAAATACAGAACTTCAGGGATTTAAAAAAATAAATATTTACACGATTTCAGGAAAATTTGTAGATCTTGAGAGAGACATTTAAAACTTCAAGGAAGCTCAAATATTTTCTGATAAATTTTGACAACTTTAGGTAATCTTCAAGGAAATTTTCAAATCTTCAGGGTAACCCTAGAGGAATTTACAAAACATCAGAGAAGTTTGCAGATCTACTGAGAAATTTATGGTGCCTCAATTTTTTCTGTAGATCTTGGGAATAGAGCTACGGAGCTTAAGACAACTTTACAGAACTTTAAAGATATTTGCAGGAATTTGACGGAAAGTTTCACAGTTTCACACAAATGTGAGATCTTCAGAAAAATTCGTTAAATGTCATAAAAGCACCTCAATTCCAAAAACAAATCGCAGCGAAGTACAAAAGTACAATATTTTGCAGAAGTCCGTAGACCTTAAGAGAAGTCTGTAGAACGTCAGAAAATTCGTACATTTTTAGAAAAAATTGCAAAACTTCAGCAAAACTCGCAGATCTTCGGGAAAGTTCGCCGATCTTTAGATCAAGAATCCACAAAGAAATTTAAATAACTTTAGAAAAGTTCGGAGATCTACTGTGAAATTTATTGAACTTCAGGGCAGTTCGTAGATCTTTAGAGCAGAAATACAGTACTTCAGAAAACTTTACAGAATTTGAAATAAATTTTAGGAACTTTAGAAAAGTTCAAAGGGTAGGTCGTAAATCTACTCAAAAATTAGCAGATGTTTAAATAAATTTTCAGAATTTTACTGCGGTTCTTGGATTTTGAAAGACATTCACAGAACTTCAGGTAAGTTCGCTGATCTTTAGAGATATTTGCACAGCTTCAGAAAAATTAGAAAAACTTCAGAATACTTTCTAAAACTTCCGGAAAATTCAAAAATTTCTAGATAATCTTTTAATTCTTTAGAAAATTGTATAGATGTTCAGAGATATTTGCAGATATTCATTGAATCATGAAAATCTGCAGAGAAAATTACAGAACTTTCGAGAAGTTTGTAGATTATTAGAAATGTTGTGAACATCAGAGATAATTGTTGATCTTCAAGGATCTTAAATCTTCAGGGATTCAGGAACTTTGTAGGTTTTTAGGAAAATTTGCTGAACTTCTGAAGAACACACAGAACTTCAAAGAAATCTGTAGAACTACCGATACATTTGCAGATTGTCAGGAAAGATTGTTGATTTTTAAGGAAATTTTACCGGAGAACAGAAACAAAACTTCAGGGACGTCAGAAGGTTTGAAGACCTTGCAGAATTGAGTTGTGTATCAGAAATTTTCAGAACTCACGGAATCATGTATATCTAGTGAGAACGTTTCCCACTAGCTTGTCTAAAGTTGGTATCGACATCCTGGCGAAGTTTTGAAATCCATTTTCATCTTCATATCGCAGCTCTTGATGGACAAGATGAGCCAAATCCCTGCCGGTGTTCCTCCTGAGCAACCATTTCCTACTCCTCAAAGTTGACCTTCTCTTTCTCATTTTATTTAAAATAATAAAAGCAAATACGTCTGCCGAAACTAGAGCAATTTTCCGGTAATTCATGATGGAAGTATTTACTTTTGATTCCTGATACAGTTTTGTTTTGAAATCTAAATTGACAGTTCTTTCGACATGTGCAAGCAGTGTGAACACCAGCAAACCCCCCTGTTTGCTGGTGTTCACACTGCTTGCACATGTCGAAAGAACCCCCCTGTTCGATAAAATAATAATGTGTATAATTTGTATGCTCCTGGAATTTTTTTCATCCGACCTGGAAAAACCTGGAAAACTCAGGGAATTTGATTCCTTGGATTGAGTAGACACCCTGAAACATCAGTCTGTGCGTGAAACATGGTGAACATTTCCTTACCCTTTTACTCCTATGAAAATCCCATATGATTCTGTCAATCTCTGCGTGAAGAAACGGCGGTTTGCTAGAGGAATGAAGAGATAAGACAAAGTCCACTAGATTTCATGCACAGATTGTCAGATGCTTATGAGATTAAGGAATAAAGAGTTGCAGAGTCGCCGTCAATGTCAATGCTTATTTTCGTAAGGGCAAATACTGCAAACGTAAACAATTACTTTTTGTGTGAATTTCTCGAAAATGAAAACTCACTCAAGAAAACCAACACCATGATTGTGTAGAGAAAGAGTCCTCCTATCAGGTAAAATTAGTGGCTTACATGGATTGACTTTGACCTACGAGACATTTACGAAAGAAGCCATATGTTTTCGACATTGGTCCTTATGAACGCTCAGTGTCGATATCACGATTTTATTTTATTTTGACAGATCGATTTCCTACTGCTACTGACGATTCCCTATGCCAGTTATACCACTGAGGCAAAACAAAAAAGGGGTCAGATTTGAGTCAGCTTTTTGCATAAACTTCCACATATGTTATGTGATTAACTGTAGTACTGTTCTAAAGATAATTTCAAAGGAATCCTAGAGAAAAGCTGAAATTCTTAAGAACATTCCAAAGACATCCGGTAAAGAGCTCTGAGCAAATGTTCAAGGTAGCTACAACATAGACAAAATCCAAAGATGAGGAGCCCTTGCATGTTAAATCACTTGAAATGTAACTTCATAATCAACAGATATAAAAAGTCCTTTTATTGCTACTGTGCTTCTAATCAGATCAAGGGTAAGCGTGCCTGTCTTGGCACCATGCGTCTAAACTAATACATTTTTAAGTAACTGTAATATTACAAATCAGCCATCATCACGTGCACTTGCGTTCGACTATCATGAGTTGGTAATTCCTCAGTATGACGTAGAAACTCACCGCCGTGACTGAACAAAAACCAAGACCATACGGGACCCAACTTGAATTCAATTGGGATTTGAATTCGTATGAATCAAATTACGTGTTATCAGTGATTGTCCAATATTACTGAATTGAATGTCTATTAAAAGAACCACCGAGGACCTTCCTTCTTACCCTCCCGACCTCATCCCGATGGATTAGCTCCTGTTCCTGTTGCTTGTCGGAGTAATTTTGACCATGTTCGTAATTTTCTCTCCGTATCAAAAACCTAGATCTATACAGTTTGGCCGTGAAACAGTGTGAGTGCATTCCCATGAGTGGTGATTAGTTAGTCGGTGAGGCAAATGTTATTGGTGATAAAGCAATTGAGGTGTTACAACAACCAGCGGTAGCTATTAGTCTACCCCATCCAAAACCAAAAGTTCGTATCGAAAACGCGCGAGTGTGTAACGAACGGCGAAATCATATAAAGTCGTAATCAGTCATCATCAGCACAGTTTGTGGCGTGGAAGATTGTGGTGCCATCGTTCTAGGGAGGGAACATACTCAATTAAGTAGATAGCTGCCTAAGCCTGCCAGGAACAGGAAAACAAAGAAGGAGGAAGCGACGAGAGAACACAAAACCAAAAGCCGCGGAAGATGAATGCCTCCGACCATGGGTAAGTTGGTTCTTATTTTTCTGATACATACATGTGTGTTCATATTTATGGTATGGGCGGGTGAAGGACGGAGGCGACGCGCTTTATTTATTGTATTTGATGGTGTCAATTGATTTGTTTTTCATTTATTTAATCGAGCACAGATGTGAGCTTGCTATTCCATTAGATTGAAATTAGAGAAATATATTTTACTACGGTTTACATTGGAAATCGGCAGAAATTCAGAGCAAACTTCAAACGCAGTTCTGAAGTGAATAACAAGAGACATTCTAACGAGTGTTCCAAGAGTTTACCATGAGAATTCTAAGGATTATCCTAGAATTCAAAATTATGGAGGCAAACTTTATTTTATTTTATTTATCACCGACTTTGACTAGTCGTACAGAATAAACTTTTCTACTTATTAACTAGATATTACTACTAATCCTATATCTTAAAACATTTTTAGTCTAGTTAAAATCAAATTCGTCACAGACAACATTGAACAAGCCAAGACACGAATCGAAAGGGTTGTTGTAGCCGTAGTTTGTTCTATGGTATGGGACTGCTATTAAAGCTGAGTTCCGAAACCGAGGAATGTTTAGCGGAATCTGTGGGAGATGTTCAGGACAGTCGATAGATTCTCCAATGAAATCGAAGAAAAAAAGCCGCTGCATCGTTACTCGTCTGACAGACAGTGGCTCCAATCCTATACATCGGTCGGAATAAGGAGGAAGATTGGTTGGTTCGTTCCAGGGAAGTTGTCTCAGTGTAAAACGTAAGAACCGTTTCTGTATCCGTTCTATCATGAGAACATACTTACCTTACCAATCAGGCTAAGGCCTTGTTGTCCTCTGCTGTCCGAAGAAGTCGTCTCCACTCTACTCTATCCATGGCCACACTTCGCCAGCCTCGTAGTTTGCGAAGGGTCCGCAGGTCGCCTTCTGAAGTTCGTCATAGATTAACCTATCGCAGCCCGGGAAGCCGAGCGATTTGTAATTCAATGTTCCGAGTTTCTAATCTTATTCCTTATTTCGTCGCGTAGGTCTGTGCCGATTGTTCCGATCCGTATTTCTTTCTTCAGTATTTGCAACTTTATGTTTTTTTTCCAGGGCGGCTTGTTGGGCCTGCCCCAACCCCCTGTCTCGCCGTGGGACCATCGTGCACAGCTCTGTTTAGAGTCCCACGCTGGCACTAGGACGCTGATCAGCCGTTCCTAACATGGAGAACAGACGCCGTTTTGAGTAGCACCTCCATGATGGACAGACGCTCGCGTTTGGTGAAGCATTTCCTCTATCACCGTACTATGGTTACCGCGCCAGTGTTCGCGTCGCACCTCTTCACTTTGCTATTGCCGGACTAGCAACATTGCCCAGGCTACGACACCTAGCTGTGTCCATGTTTCAGCTGGTAGTCTTTTGTTATCATACGACTCGGGGAGGCGTGAAGTTGGAACTTGTGAGGACCAGAGCTAGGTATTCCGCTCCTTCCAGGCTGTCAACTCACCATTTTGTAGAACATGAGCTACATAATAAGGGGCCCAATCGGAGCTGCGTACTCTAGAATACTACGAACCAACAAGCAGTAGATCGTTTTTAAAGCGTGAATGTCGGTGAACGCAGAAGCGTGGCCACGTATGAATCCCAGCACAGAAAAAGCTTTGACAGTCGTAATGTTCACGTGTTCGTTGAATCTGAGCTTCGAGTCGATGGTAACTCCGAGGTCGCAGAATGACGGCACACGTTCCAATGATGTCGTTTCCATCCTGTATTGATGAAGAATGAGGTTATTAGCCCGCATGCCGTTATTGCCACACCATACCAGCATAGCCAGGGCAGTAAGTTCCAGAAGAGAAGCCATGACACGATAGATTTTTAGGTCATCAGCGTATGAAAGCTTAAACGGGGAAAGTGGCAAACACTGGTCATTGATAAAAATGTTGAATATAAGTTGTCCCAGAACGCATCTTTGGGGTACACCAGACGTGATGTTGATAGTGCGGGATCGAGCCGAGTTGACGATCGCACAAGTCCGAATATATCCACTCTGTAATCCAATATGGAAAACCTATGTGCTTCAGCTTCTTCGCGACTGGAATGTGCGGTACAATGTCGAAGGTTTTCGCAAAGTCAACATACGCCGCGTCAACTTGCCGCCTCTCTTCTACTTCTCGGGACAGTGTGGTGACGTAACGCATGAGGTTCGTTGTTGTAGAACGTTGCTTCATCAAGCCATGCTGACCATCAAATAAAGTCTGGAACGAACAAAAATTGGTCAACTTCAAATTGGTGTATTTCTGTTAAAAATGCATAAAAACCTGAAATGCTGCATTTGGAAGTTGAGTGTATATACAATGTTTGCTATGACGTTTGCTCTCCAGTTTTCAAAATGACGTCCAAGTAAGAGGAGCAGCTTGTCAAAATTTTGCTCCCGCAGCAAGAGAATCCGACGTTTTCACATACACAGCAAAAAATAAATTTTAATATTACATCCAAGAGGATGCACTTCAATCATGTCGAAAATCTCATGTAATTTTTATGGCCATAACAATAAACAAATGCAGTAAAAGCAGCGTAATGTCAGTTCATGCACTGTATTAATGATAATTTTGTCCTTTTTGGCAAGTAATATTACACCATATTTTCGACACGATTGAAGTGCATCCTTTTTGATGTGATATTAAAATTAATTTTTTGCTGTGTACCAAGTTGTCAAAATTCCTGGAAGTGGCCAAATCGACCGTGACAAACGTTTTAAAAGCGTTCGGGGAGCGTCTGTCGACCGCCAGAAAGCCTGGAAGCGGTGGCAATCGTAATCCGGACGTGGCAGCGACGACGAAGAAGGTGGCGGAGAAATATAAGCGGAATCCTAACCTCTCCATCCGAGACGTCGCTGGCAAGCTCAATGTCTCCCATACTACTGTGCAGCGTGCCAAGAAACGAGCCGGGTTGTCGACGTTTAAGAAGGTGAAGGTGGCGAACCGAGATTTCAAACAAAACACGTCGGCAAAGCAGCGGTCCCGAAAGCTGTATACAAAGTTGCCCACAAAGTTCGACTGTGTCGTCATGGACGACGAAACTTATGTGAAGGCGGATTTCAAGCAGCTTCCGGGACAGGAGGTGCCTTAAATTTTCAAAACAATCAAACTATCGAAGTTCCCGAAAAAATATCTCGTCTGGCAGGCCATGCACGTGTGGTCTAAAAAGGGGCATTTTCATTACTACGGGAACCATCAATCAAGAGTTCTACGTCCCTGGAAAAGCGGCTGTTACCATTCCTAAAGCAACATAATAGACCTGTGCTGTTCTGGCCGGACTTGGTGAGCTGCCACTATGGGCAAAATGCAATCGAGTGGTACGATGCGAACAACGTGGTTGTGGTACCCAAACCACAACCCTCCCAACAGCCTTATCGAACGGTATTGGGCCTTGGTTAAACGGAATCTAAAAAAAACTATTAAATCCATGGAAAACGAGCAGCAGTTTAAATCTAACTGGCGTTCGGCGGCGAATAAGGTCGATCAGACCACTGTGCAAAATTTAATGTTCGGATTTAGCAAACCAAAAGAATAAACGAACATTTTTTCCTTTAAATATATGAATTGAACCACCAAAAGAAAAATAAGGAGATTTTTGTGATATGAATTTTTACTGAAAGAAACGATTTTTTGTCGACCAATTTTTGCGCGTTCCAGTCTTTAATTATCTTAATTGCACATCTTGCACATGCTAGTAAACGGCTCATTAGCGCCGTAGTTTTTGCGAGACGCCGGGATGTTGAAAAAATAATAAGAACGTAAATTTACGCGTCTGATATTGACATTCAACTGCTGCACAAGTGAACCGCAATAGATCATATCATTCGAGCAGTTTAATATGACGTTTCCTACCACTCGAACTTTAACGTGGAACAATATTTTGATATTTTTTCTTCTACAACCTCGAGAAAATAGGGTCTTATTTGTAATATGCTTGAATTTATTGTTTCATTTCCGTAAAATCGCTGGTAGAAGGTCGTCTCAAAACTGCTCGACAATATGATTAATTAATGTCCGATCGTAGGAGATCAGCGATGAAGGTAGCCTTAGAGACGCCTCGGCGAACACTAAGTAACTGTAGGGCGCGACTTTCATAACTAGGGAGATTGAAAGAATCACTCCAGGGTAGCCAACGAAGAGAGATACGTACAAATCTTCGCTGAATGGCCTCAATACGATTCACCCCGTTGCTGTAAAAAGGAGCCCATACTACGGAACAGTACTCTAATGTGGAGCGGACTAGCGAACAAAAGAGTGTTTTTAAACAGAAAATGTCCCTAAAGTATTTGGCGAAACGAAAAATGAAACCAAGATGCCTTAGCGGAAACATAAGCCACATGGTCCTTGAAGGTGAGTTGTGAGTCAAGTAGGACACCTAAGTCTTTAAGGGGAAGTTCACCGCTTCGAAAAATATAATTACGTTTTGATTTTTCTAAAAATATTGAAAAAAAGTATCAAAAATCTAAAAAATCACATTTTTTCTAATTTTTTAAAGAAAATTCACGTGCAAAAACATGTTTTATAAGTCATTATGGCATAAAGTTGGACTCAAGAAACCACAAAACATCAACTTTTCGGTTTTTCTGAGAGTCTAATTTTTTTTCATGATGGGATAGAAATTTTTTTTTGCATGTAATTTTTGACAAAAATCTAAGGAAGAAACTGATTTTCTTGGATTTTTGATAATTTTTCCCAATATTTTTAGAAAAATAAAAACGTACCGAAAATATTTTTTTTATTGTTGGGCCGGTGAGCTTCCCCTTAATGGTAGATTTACGGCTTAATATTTGCTCCTGCAGGCTGTGAGCATAACAGATAGGTGATTTTTTCCTGGAAAACGTTATAATGGCACATTTAGAAGCATTTAATACCATCCTGTTCTTGTCACACCAAACAGTAAAAACGTCCAGCAGCAGGACAATGCATTACTTGGATCTTTGATGACAAAGTATAGTTTGAAATCGTCAGCATAAGACAGCTTCAG